GAAAGCAAAAAAAACCTAGAAAAAGAATTTTTTTTCCAAATACGAAACTAATTACTAAAACAACTTGGAACCTTATTCTGCTTCGCAGAAAAAACCACATAACCAGTAACAGCATCAACCAGATGGATATGTAAACTAGAATGTCCTAGATCCGAAACGGCTACGGCAACTAGGTTCGGATTAGAATATTTATACAGCACAGACCGATCTCCTAACACTCTTCCAGAGCTGTGGACACGCTCTAAAAGTCTTTTTTAATTGCAGATCTTTGCCATAAATGACTCAAAAACATACGTGATGGTGGCTTCCCTACGACAGCAATAACCTTCTGTGACTGTGATAAGGCCAAAGTCGACTTCCACTGCGGCACCAGTTTTAAGTTAGCTGCGTCCAGCTTAAAGCCCCTCAGATATCCTTTATTATTATATGTTAGGATGTGTGTTGGCAAGGGTACGGGGCCAAGAGGTGCGTAACGAGGTATTATAGTCACCTGTATGAATTCAAAATGAAAAAGTATTTTAGTTTATAGGCTGCATTTGATGAAAAAATAAATGAGTAAAAAATTGAAAATTGCAGAAAACAATCGTAGATTGAAAAAAATTCTTGTCAATCAAGATTATAAGTAATGCTGTTGATATTAACGGAAATAGGCTAACCTTATCAGAATCGTCAATGACAAGCAGTGGATGTAAATTATCTGCATTCACAAACGGAAGAAGCTCAATCCTTTTAATAGGAGCACTGAGAGTTACCTTTCCGATGAAACTACCAGTTACAGGATTGAACGTTATAATCACTCCATTTGACGTCAACTGGAATGAATTGTATGGTTGATAAAGAGAAGTTTTAGGAAAAAACTAAAAGGAATGTGGTCTAAAAATCATCCTTTCACAGCTAATAAAAGCACTCATTACCTTATCAGCAAATGCAACAGCTGCTTGAGGTGAATATTGAAAATGAGCCGTTGTTCGCTGAATAAATAAGGGTACCGAAAGAACGCCTAAAGTCGATCTAAGCGGAGCCATATTTTTGCCCAGATATAAACTCCAAAAAACAGAACCGTCTGAGCTGTCCAACCCTAAAGGAAAATAACCACATTGTCTGAAACAAGGCCAATAAAATCAATACTATCTATGCTAAATCAATACACACATATCAAGTAAATAATTGAAGACTAGCCATAAACAGCTGATTTGCGAGTAGCCGCAACTATAATCTTCCTAAGGTTAAAATAATCCCTTTCCAAAGGTGCATCACTCGCTCGTTCACTTCCTCCTACCTCATTTAATCTTAACGATGAAAACCAATCGGCGAAGGATTTGGAACGAAAATTAAGAAAGGATTTTGAAGACAATATTTCCTTGCTGGCAGATAAGAAAGCACGCCGAAATTGGCTTAGCTGACTTAATAAACGCCGTGCAAAAGATTCAAATATATTACCTAAAAAAAAGCAGTAGTCTACAGTTTATGAACCCTTCTCTGCAGTTTATAAAAAAATGCATATTTTAAGAAAGTACAAACCTCCATCAGAAGTAAATTCAGACTCAATCCCAGCTTGGGCTTCAGAAAGTGGAAGTTCTACCATTTCTACAGAAGTTATAGTACTTAACGCTTCATGCCGGCTCCATTCGCTGATTAATTCGTTATAAGCGCTTACATAAAGATCAACCTTACAATCATCACCAACCGTTATCAGTTCAAATTCACGACCAGCAACGGCTAAAGTCAAATCTTTGATGGCTCTTCCTGCATAATCCTTCAGAACGCCACTAAATACCACATTCTTCTCATGTGCCTCAGTTATTGTTACTTTTCCCTTGCCATTTTGGTTCGAAAATGAAGCTACATATCGCCGATTATTTTCCGCTTCAACTACAGCAACATTGTCAGCCTGAAAATTAACCAAGGTCATAATTCTTAACAAGATAATGACGAATAAAATGAGAGAAAACAGAAAAAAAAACTAAATGTTTGATACCTTTTCCAGTGTTAGGAGAAGTTCAGGTGCGGAAGACAAAATATTGTAAATATACGTTTTTGAAATTGTATTTAAGACAACAAATCCTTCTACTTTTGACGGAGAAATTGCGGTTATCCCAGAAAGAGCTACTTCCTTGGGAGCGACCTGATTCAGTGTGGGGTCAAGTACATAAAATGAGTTAGTCCCAAAACATACCAAGACTTTGTGAATAAATGAGCAACTGAAAATGTTTTATGAAATAATATAGTAAAAACAACAGAAAAAATTTTCGAAATGATGAAAAACTAACAAATTACTGTTGTACCACGGTGCAACAATAACGCTCTTATCTTCTAAAGTACCCTTAATCAAATCCAGTTTCTTAATAGTTAACTCTCCGGATGAAACCCCTATAACAAACCCATGGTGCCGAGTCACTACCACATCAATCCACTTCCTAAACACCGAACTGATTCAGAAAATAAGATGGTTATTTTGCCTATACATACCAAATTTAAAAATATATATATTCGAACTGACTCCTTTGACCTTTCATCCATTAAGGAAATAGATTGAAATGAAAAATTTTTGAGAAGTAAAATTTTTACGAAACCAGATTTAAATCCAAATAACGAAATATTTAAAAAGCAACTTTTCAACTATAATTTACTCATAACAAAACTAACTTCGTTCTATCAAGCGCAGAAGACCACTTAATGTGTCCATTAGATGATGTGAGAAGGTAGACTGACAATGTACCCAGGACGATTACTGCATCATCAGAAGAACCAAGTGTCACAACCCTAAACGATAAAGTTTAAAACAAAAAAACGTGAGTTATAGAAAAAAATTTGCCTCAATAGCACAACCTATCTGAATTTAGCAGCTCCGTTTCCCAACAAAATGAACCTTTTTCCCGTTCCCAGGCCCGTACCACTTCTCCGTCCCTTGCGCTTGACACAATAACTAAAACGATAAAGGCCAACAAAAAAGTAAAAATTAAAAATTAAAAAAATAACCAGCGGAAGGTACCTACACTTGTTGTGGAGAATAAAGCTCCTGGCCTTATCACTACGTTCGAGCACCTGCCTCCATGCTGAAAAGATTTGAAATCCATGAACTCATAAAGGCCGTACAAAGTGTTAGTGCTTTTGTAAAATGAATAACAGATACCCTAAAACCTGATTCAAAAAGATCTATCCCAAAAGTTTGTTCAAACGTTCTAAATAACTTCCTTTTAAAAAACAAATGAAGGTGGAACAAAAACTTCTACCAATGTCGCCAGTGGTAGGTTTGATTGCCGCAATAACATCTGCTTCTGAAGAAATATAGATGAGATTTGACTGAAAAGACTCTGACCTACGATATTCAATTTGTACTGGACAACCGATATGTTGGTAACGCCTTAAAAACAATTCAGAACTATGTAATAGGGACCACAGAAGAGTAGAGGAAGATGACGACTATAACTGATGACTTATGCCATAAGATATTTTGCAAAAAAGTTCCTCAACAATAAATTCAGACCAAAAAGCTCAATTACATTAAAAAAACTCTTCACTCAAACCAAAATGGCAATGATATTTACGAATGTCCATTATGCCACTACATTTAGTACCACTTAAAACAGATAAACTTCCTGGATGATTTCAAAATTAGTGACTTACCAGTCAAATTTCCCAACTTGGTCCTCAAATATGGCAAAACTTGAAGTAATCAACAACGCATAAACTAAAATCCCTAACATAATTTGATTAACTACTAACAGGTAACCAGGTTTAGTGATGAGGAGGCTGAAAAACGAACTGTGTATGGTACGCGAATAGCAAAAAACCTTGTTTCACCAACAAAAGAAGAAACAAACTAAGGAAATTCATAAGATTTGAAGTCCGACTAAGTTCAACAAGACGCAAAAAAAAACTTAAATTGTAAACGCACAAGAACAAGAAAAAATGCTTCCTTTTGCAACAGATCATGCTGTTATTATTGTATAAAAGAGAACAAAAAGTACACCTGTTTTACTGTACGATATTCATTTCACCTTTCACTAAACCACAAAATTTTCTCGTCATCAACCTCCTGTTGACAACTCATAATTCCCCCGAGAAAAAACCACGACGAAAACAAAGGGCGAAACTCGATAACAACTGTCCTAACCTTCAGAACTATACCAATAAAAGTTTCTTAAACTCTGCCAGTGGCTTAATTTCAATGGGAACGGGTTGACACTGGTTGGTTATTTAAGCAAACACTATACAAAGAGTGAGCTTTTTGAAAAAGATTTTTGGCGATGTTCCAACGACTGGAACAGCTCTCTATTATTTGCATCTGATAGTCGGCAACAGTAGCAGCAGCTCAAAAGAGCCTTTGGCCCATCACTGTAGCCGCTCAGCTATTATGCATTTGTTACTTGTAGCGTGAGGAAGGAAAGATGTTTAAAGTTGTGTTATTTCTATGATCTGTTTGCGATTTAAACAACTAACCTCAATACAACACTGACAATTTTTTGATTATGACAGTTAAATGTTTTGAAGCTAAGCTTTTCTAATTTTTGTTTAATTTCGTCATCATTTCTCTCGTTCTTGGCTTTCTACAAGCTGTTGTAGCTGTAGATGAGTGGAGTTCTTTGTATAGAAAACAGGAAATTTTTTGAGCAGAATAGGAGAATAACTTGGTAAAATTTTTGACACATTATTTACAACACTTGATTTTCATGTCTTTTCAGTTTTAATGAAGTTTTGTACACGTTATTTTCAGTAGTTTTCTCTTTATTGTCATGGCACAGAAAAACTATATTTGAGAAGGAAAATTATTTTTGCTCTGTTGTTTTCTATGAATTGAGACGAGAAATATTTCCATTTCCAATTTTTTTTTTTCTTATGCTCAATTGGATATGAATAAGAGCGCGGAGGGCATTTATAATTGTCTGACAGATGTAGTGTTAAAGCTTTTATTTGAAAAAGTCAAACATGTTCGTCAGCGGTGATGAAGAGGAATACGGTTACCATTGTGTCTTGTTACCTTCTTAGGCCGTTAAATTGTTATCTATGTTATTTATGGAGATTTATAGTAACTGCACGGGTTATTACCTGGACGGCCAGTAGATGTTGATGTAAACAAGTGTTTTCCAAGCTTTTTTGGTCCATCGTCTTCTTGTGAAAGAAAAATTTTACTGCAAACGCTTTTACGAAATCGTTCCCTTGTAGTCGTGTCGTTGGCGCCTGTATTTGCCTCCAATTTTGCTAAGTTAGGAATAAACGGAAACTGCGTAGAAAAATTCGTTACTGCAAAAACTTAACGGAAGAGGAAGGCAAGATATTAGCGATTTTTCAATTCTCTTTCTTAACGGTTTCTCGCACTTCACTGCAACCTGAGAGCCATCTTGAAATCTGAAAATAATTAATTGTAATTTTAAATCCGTGTCGGTTCCTAGCATTTTAAAGGCTTTCATCGTTCCTTTGTTTCCCTGTGCTGTTCACGGAGAGACAGTACCGTCTGTTTTGAAAATCACCGGTTAAGGTGGCTGTGCTCCAGATTAAAAGTGCTTCTCGAAACGTATGAATTAGAAAATTTTCTCCAGTTTTTTTGTCACGTATTAGCTGGGAGAACCACTTTGCAAAAGGAATGAGGCAAGTATTTTATAAGCTGCATGTTGAGGTACAGCTAGGTCTTGCTTAATAGATGCAGTGCTAGAAGTGTCAGGTGTTTAATAAATATGAGTGGATTTTACTGTTGAGGGCTTTCCTGCTTGGAAACTTTTATTATTGTCCAAGTTTTATACGTAGTTCTTGCATCTTGAGCACTTAATTTTTTTAGGTCCTGTAATGTTGTTGATTTTATTTTTTACGCTTTATTCGTACTAATACTGGCTGTGCTCCAGATTAAAAGTGCTCCTAATAATTTTTGCTGAATTGAAAAGTCATCTTGTCTGTAACGGATTTTTTATAAAATAATGTATTATTGAAGCATTTTAGGTAGAATATGGTGGACGCTTACGATGTTATAGCCAACCAGCCAGTAGTGATTGACAATGGTTCGGGTGTAATTAAAGCTGGTTTTGCTGGAGAGCAGAATCCGCGATGTCGATTTGCTAATTTTGTAGGGCGGCCAAAACATACAAGGGTTATGGCTGGAGCTTTAGAAGGAGATTTGTTTATTGGTGAGAACTTTCTAGCAAATCCTATTTTGAGGATCAGTAACAGAGAATACAGTAACAGTAATTGAGAACCTAAGATTGTTGTATCATTGATAAACTTGGTTTTAGGTCCAAAAGCTCAGGAATACAGAGGGCTGCTTTCTTTGAAGTATCCTATGGAGCATGGTATAGTAACAGACTGGAACGACATGGAACGTGTATGGCAGTATATTTATAGTAAGGAACAACTGGATGTGAGTCTTCAGTTAGCCACCGTATTGATCCTGAAACCTTCCTTTTTTTATTCTGAGAAATTAATGTGGTCAATCAAGCCTTCCTGCAAAAACTCTGTTTATCTATTTTAAAAGCATTATTGTTGTGGCAGTTCTTGGGGGGAATTATAGGTATTCCCAGAGGAGCACCCAGTTCTACTGACAGAAGCGCCCTTGAACCCTTTGAAAAATCGAGAAAAGTCTGCCGAAATTTTTTTTGAAACTTTCAACGTCCCTGCGCTTCACATACAGATGCAAGCTGTTCTTTCCTTGTACTCTACTGGGCGCACGACTGGAGTAGTGTTAGACTCTGGAGATGGAGTCACACATATAGTACCAATATTCGAAGGGTTCGCGATACAAAACGGGTATTTTGTTTCAAACATTTATAATTAGGGTTTTACGACTGTTTATCCTTTATCACTTTTGAACATTTCTTTAGTATTGAACGGATGGACATAGCTGGACGAGATGTAACGCGTTATCTTCGTTTGCTTTTGCGTAAGGAAGGGGCCGACTTTCATAGGTCATCCGAGTTTGAAATTGTCCGGGAGATAAAAGAGAAACTGTGCTATATTGCTGTCAACCCAAATAAAGAGGAGAGCAATGAAAATGAGAAGGTTACTAACATTAATGTTTGTTCTTGCTTCTGTAGGGATCTAATTTAATTTTTCTGCAATGCAGTGGAGATTTCCACTTTCCCAATCTGGATTACTGGTGCTGGATTTACCAATGTTTTTCTCTTGTTTTGATGTTAATCTTTTTTATCTTATGTTTTAAGAATTTGTACAGTTTTTGTATTCTACGAGTAATTTTATAGAACACTTACAAACTCCCAGATGGCTCAATTCTGGAAGTAGGAGCTGCGAGATTTCGAGCTGCAGAGGTACTTTTCCGACCGGATTTGATTGGTGAAGAATGGCCTGGTATTGCTACGGCACTTGATCTTTCTATAAGGGTAATTTTTAATCTAGATTAGGTTGCCTGTTCTTCAAGGCTTAATTTATTAAACATTTCTCTCTTCTCAATTTTTACGTGTAATTGATACGGTATTTTGGCCAGCATTATTATTCTCTTGCAAAGTTTCTTCCATTTATTTGATTTATATTACAGAAATGTGACATGGATTTAAGGAAAATTTTGTACAGTAATATTGTCCTTAGCGGTGGCTCTACCATGTTCCAAGGTTTTGGAGATCGACTCTTAGCTGAGGTACATGCCTAAATTTTAGGAAAAAACTTTCAGTCTGATTTCTGAAACCTTATTGTCATGAGACGTCATCGGTGTTATTACTCCCTGAGGCACGTCTTCGCCAACTCAATTAACCTTTTAAATTTGCATTCTAATTTATTTAGATGCGGAAACTGGCACCAAGGGATGTTAAAATACGAATATCGGCCCCGCAGGAGCGTCTTTTTGGGACTTGGATTGGTGGTTCTATCCTTGCGAGCTTGGAAACGTTCAAGAGAATGTGGGTCAGTAAAAAAGAATACGAAGATGATGGTAAAAAAGCGTTACATAGGAAAACTTTTTGAGGATTAAGGTATTACCCAAATGTTTTTTCCATTTCGGTTATCTAAAATTTGAAACTGAATTTTTTTAAGTTGACTTATCGGGTGATTATAACTCTTAGCTTGCTTTTGTGGAATATTTCAATTGCAAGATGTTATTATGTGATGCTTCCGTCTGATTCCGTTTCCATTACTGCTGATGGCTCTTACTAAATCTGAAAATTTTTCACAGATCTCTTTTTACGTGTGCCATATTTCTCTGGAAATTTACAGTTTTAAAGAGTTTAACGTGAAGTTTTTTTCTAGTACGAGTTATCTTATGGATTCGAAATTGCTACATTTTTCTATTTTTTTAATGATATTTGTCCGTGTTGGTATTCCAAACGTTGAACTTGTTTTATTTCTAACTTCTAGTTGTTGTATCTATGAAAATGATAACGTTGTTATTTCGCATCCATGAATCTTCCCAGGAGTTTGGCATTCATGTTTCTCTTCAAATCTCAGTCTTCAAAACTGCTTCTTATGCAAGAATCTTCCAGGGAATAGTAAATTTGGAAGATCTAATGGATAGGATTTTTTGCGTTTTTTGAGCTTTCCATAAGGATATTTCTAAAGTAAAAGGTTCACAACTCCTTTGAAATGTTTTCTACTTTTTGGCATAAGGTTATGGTAAGTTCCATGTGCTAAACTAAGTTCAGTAGAAGTTTTGAAGTCACTTCTTTCTCATATTTGTTAATAGTTTATGTAATAAGCCGTTGTTTTGTGTAACTCAGAGAGTAAAACTGTTCAGTCGTCTTTTAAAGGAAAAATAAGTTACGGTTAGTAATTCCCTTTTCCTGTTGTTGATTCCATGTGTTATCCAGATGAAGCTTTTTTCCACACGTGTAAACAATGATAAGGTTAGTTAGTGTTCTTTTAGCACCAAAATCTGGGCTTTTTTAGGCTTGCGACACCAGATATATACAAACATACGTAAATTAGAAAAAGTAGACCGCGGCATCAATATCATCGCAGCGTATTGCAGTCGAATTGGCATGCCTATTGTGTCGAATTTGAGCTAAAGATTTCCAGTCTACTGCGATAGGAAGCACTGTGTCCTGATGGAAGTTTCGGTGTCAGTGTGGAGACTTATGAATAGCAGGAAGTAATTATGGTCAGGTCCAAGTCACAGTGAGGACAGGAGATCAAAAAGGTTAATGAGAAAAACGGTAAAGTGGCAAAGGACGGTTGGAGAAGGTAACATCACATTAAAACTACAGAAAAAGGTTAAATATCAAATTGGGGTTAGATAAGCATCAGTAACAAAGTCTTTAAAATAGCCTACTGGTTGCAAAGAGGCAGAACATTTGTGACACTTCAAGGGACGGAGTAGTTCATACACGATGCAGTAGTTTGTAGTCAGTCGTTGCTTCCTGTCTTACAATCTAGTGTGTTACTGCTGGGATTAAACGGACCATTTAAAGCTTAAAGTACTCACGAGAAATGGCATATGATATTCAACTCTCCTCACGGTAAGTGATGTGGACTTTGCAGCGGTAAATAGCCCGTTAAGACGGCGGCCTTCCAACGAGTTGAAACTCTAGCAGTTCTCCACAGTCCAAAAGCTTTCAGCGCCCTTAACCGCACTGAAGGTGCGCCAACTCTAAACCAGAGCCAAGTGAAGGGAAAGCGGCGTACCAAAAATGTATAGTACAATATACGAAAAAGTGGAGTGGCTTTGATTTTCCTAGTGCTGTTACCTCACGGCTGCCTGTTTTATTGCCGTCTTACCTTTAATATGACCCTTTTCCTCTGTGCTGGTGCCCATTCGGTTAGACCGTCTCTTTTGTCCCTTCTGCACCCTATATTCCCTCTCCTTCTTTGGATGAATGGTGACATGTGTTTATTAGGAGCTGAAGGGGATTAATGATGGAAATGGTACCTCAGCTGGGGACGCTGCGGCCTCTCTACATGTTTTGAGGAGTCCCGTAAACCACCTTTTCAGTAATTTTATCTTTTTTCTGCAGCGTTTTACTGTTCTTGAAGTCAGCTGTATTTTAAATATTGAAAGGAGCCAGAGGTTTTTTGAGGTGAGACTTTTTCTTTCCGCTTCTTTGGAGGATTTCGTCTCAAAATGTTGCAATTTAGGCCTTCGTAATGGTTGTAAGAAAAATAAAGTAATATGTTTAACGGTATCGCAGTATGGAATTTCCACTGTGTTTTTATACTTCAGTTTTTTCCCTTCAGAGTCATCAGATGGGACTGAGAGAATGTATACTAAGATATTTTCTTTCGATTCGATATTATCCGAGTCGCACTGTGCACTGTTTTTTGAAATATGTTTGAATTAGAGAATCAAAATCTCCACACTAGTTTTTGAGGTGCAGAAAGGCCTAAAACTTTTTTATGTCCGGTAGGCGCAACGTAAACTGATGAGATGTGCCCAAGTAGTTTTCTGAAGCAGCAAGCTGCAAAAGCTTTGCACTGTGAGTAGCCAGTTTTTTGATTTTTTAAGTATTCCAGAGACTAGCTGTAACGCTTTCCTATGCAGATCAAAATTAGCTTCCGCTTATTTTGCTGATATTTAAGATCTTGTAAGGGATTCCTGAAAAACAGTTTCTTACCAAGTAATGTCGTTTTAGTCTCAGCAGTTGGTGATCGTAGGAGGACAATGGTGTAGTGTATTTGGAGTTCCTATACTTTGAGTCATGCTTCTACATAAATTACTTTAGGATTCAAGCGACCTTTAGCTAATCTTTCCATGAGGAATTTTCTGTCAGGATTTAGAAACTGACTTTTCTTTTCTTACGAGTGATTTTGATAATACTCTAGCTGATGTTCGCACGTTTGCTTATCGCGGGCTTCTTTGTCTGTTTGTAAAATAACAGCTCGTTCGCTGGCTGTATTGCATTTATTCGAACTAGATTACCGCTTTTTTCTTAATT